AGCTGAGTGACTAGGCTTTCACTTTCTCAGGCAGGGCCTCCTAGTCATTGTGTTGGCTTCTGAGTAGCTGTCAGAAAATGATACAGTGGAAACTGGAGGAGTAGGTACTTTCTTCAGAGGGGTGGTAGTTAGCACTATGGATTTGGGGCTGGCTAACCCTCTTCCCAGGGTGAGACTTGGTAATATTCTCATGAGAGATTTGTATTTTTAAGTTTGTTAAACCTTATGGTGCTATAGAAATGTTATTATTGTTGCTATTAACAACTCAGATGAATATCTAATTGGAATAAGGGCTAAATAAAAAATTTAATTAGGTTCTCATCCCAACCCTCTCCATCCCTAACAGGCAGGCAGTCCCCTACCGTTAAAAAAAGGTTGATGACCCCTGGTATATAAAGTTGAGGCAAGATGAAACCAAATGATCTTAAGATCCTTCTGTTTGGTCTGGGAGTATTTTTTTACTGAGTTGTTTATATCTTGTCCATGCCAAAGCATTGGACTTCTTGGATTCGGAAGACCTAAGTCTGCATCTTGGCATGTAACTGGCATGTACGTTGTTTTAAACTATAGGCCACTATAACATCTAGCTAGACACATTAAAGCTGGTGAGTTGTTTTAAGATGATTAAAAGTCTTCATTAAAATTCTCTTCTGATGCATCATTATGTCAAGATGTTCTTATGCCAGGGGAATACTGATTTGGCAGATTCTCCCAAGCTCAGAGCCAATGTCAGCAAGCATGTCTGTCATCCAAAGGACCCATGAGGTACCTTCAGAGAGGCCCGTCATCTGGTTCACTTTTTGGCCACAGCAACACTCAGACAGTTAGTTTGCTAATTCTTAGAGCTGTTTTGATCTGCTTCAGGGGAGGAAGTATCTGTTCTGATGAGATCACAGGTCATGGAAGTAAGGAATCCATCAAGAAATGTCTATTAAGCACCTACTGTGTGCTGACAGCTGGGAATACAAATGTAGCAAAAGAGAAAGGCAGTCACTGCCCTTAAGAAATGTGCATCCGAATGGGAAAAGACAGTTCCGGAAAAGGAGCTAACTAGTCATATCTGGTAAATAAGTTTAGATGCTAGTATGTCATTTATCCTCACACTGATCCTGTGGGGTTGGGTAGTACAATTATTATCTAGTACAAATATTATCTAGTGCCCTTGTAATTTTATACTGTTTATTTTTAAACTACCCATAGTAAGCCTCAGCATCTAAAGATCCCAACTCTTATAAAAGTCACCACAAACCTTAAAAGTAGTGAAATGTATGAAAGAGTCAAGAAACAATTAAACCTTCAGCGTGGGTTACATGAACAGTGAAAAACTGCAATGACTAATCTGTTGTTTTTTAAAATGAGAGTGAAACTGTGACCATGTACATATGGCTGTGGGGCAGAAACTCCCAACATAAAACTGACAAGCTACTATGGTTGTTTTTTGAGTGGTTGGAAGGTGAGCTTTTAAAGAATATTCTGGTTTCTGGTGGAAATACACTTAAAAAACTAACAAACAGAAATTTCAAAAAACCTCAGATACTGCCCTCCTCTGCAGTATGTATGCCTGACAGGCCTAGGGAGTGAGATGTGTTTGAAGAAGCTGTTGCTCAGAATACCAAGTATTTTTTGCCTGTGGATTTACTTAAGGTCACAGTGAATTAATGATAGATCTTAATCTCCTAACTCCCCAAATTATCATTTTTTGGTGGTTTTTTTTTCCTGCTGTACCACAGCCAACTCCTTAAAATGAGGGAAAGCTGTTAGGAAGTAAATGAAACATTTTTTCAGTTGTTTCTCCCTTGGAACAAGCAACCAAAGAAAACATGTAGGAAGAGACCACATCAAACTAATTCTTTATAAAGCTCATCAGTTTCAGGCACTCACTTTCTTCGTATTCTGTAAATATGAAACTTTATCACTTCTGGATAAGATGCCTGCCCGAACAGGAGGCAGACTGCCCCATTCCCACATACCTACTCCCGTAAAACCCCAAAGCAGACTGAATAATGATCAACAAATCCAATGAGAAACTACAGTAAGTGGCATCTTCAACACCAAAACTACAAAAAAGTCATCCAGAAGCCCCCAGGCAAGCCCCTTTCATGCCCCCAACCTGCTTGAGGCAAAAATAGCTAAACCAAATCCTGCCATTGCAAGATAGCCTCTCATCATGATCAGAGAAGCAGCACAAGGCTTTGTCTGAAGACAGCGAGAGGAGAGAGTTCAGGAAGCTCTTAGAAGTCCCAGAGAGGGGCAGCAAACAGACCAGTGCCTCCCACTGCATCCCCCCAGTATACAGACTGGGAAGGCTCAGGCCCAAGGGATCTGAGATTCCTAATACCCTGTCCTGAGATGCCAAGGAGGACCCTGAGGATCTAATACCACTCTCAACCTAAAAGATGCAGGGGGGTCTAAACATGGAGGTGGAGGTCAGCACAGGAACCCAAAACAAGATGAAGCAGGGCTGACTACCTCTTACAAAAGGACAGGAGAGCAATAGTTTTGCCCTGGCACAGTTGAGGAACTAAAGCCAGAGAAATAAGTAAGTGAAAGAAAATACCTACCAGCCTCAAAAATTATTACAAATTTAATTCTGTAACCTCCAAATGCAGATACTCAAAGGAAACAATGAATTTTCCCAAGGATTATATCAGCACATAGAAGAAATTAAGTAAGAGATTAAAAATGAAATAAAAGATCTTGAAAGAACTGGAAGAAGATTAGCCTTGGGTGCTATATTTCAAGAAAATATAAGTGAAATTTGCCTGTGTCTATTAGGACCAAAGGGCAAAGTGACGCTTCCTGAAATGAGCCCCGAAAGGAAAAGTCCAAGTTATGTCATAGCCCAAATCCAGAACTCAAAAAATATTGCCGTGATCCAGAATGAAGTTATCAAGAAACTACTATCAGAATCATATAAGATGTGATAGCTTCTACTAAAAATGAGGGGAAAATCTTGGAATACAATATTCCAAAAGGCAAAAGAAATAACATTACAACCAAGAATAACTTATCCTGGCAAAACTAAATATAATTTTATGGGGGGGAAAATGGACCTTTACTGGAATAGAGAGATTTCAAACATTTTTGATAAAAAGACCAGAAGTGAGTAGAAACTTTGAAATACATTAGGAGGTACAGAAGAAAGCATAGACAAGGAGGGCAGTTTTGGAATTCTCTTGGTATTCTGCTGTGTGTATAGAAATGTTCTTTTTTTATGTTTAAGTTTAGAATTTTTGAAGAACAAAGACCAAAAAAAAGAAAATAATCACTAAACTTTTATTAAGTACCTACTAGTACCAGGTGCTCTTAAAGTCTGGGGATACAAAGAAAGGCAAAGGACAGTCCAAGCCCTCAAGGAGCTCATAGTCTAATTAATAAGTAGGTTCTTAAAGTTCCTTTAACAAAAGTCAGACATAAAGTATTTCTTATTTTGGAGATTGAGATCGGAAATTTGTTGTGCTCATATGCAGAAGAGATGTGTGTGAAGTGTCCAGTGTGTACAGACTTTGATATGTACCTGTGTTGTTGTAGGCAACAATAATGACATCTCTTTAGCATTTGCTTTTATTTCATATTAGAACGAACCCTTTGGGCTTAGTTGGGTACTTTGCTTAGCTTAAGTTTGTTTTCTTTCTGACAGGCTTTATGTCTTTGGATAAGCAGCATAGTGTAACAGGAAGGACCTGGCTCTGGCACTTGCTACCACTGGTGTGGCAAATCCCTTTACCTCTGCAGGCCCTCTTAATCTGTAAAATCACCGGGCTGGACTAAATGCTCTCTAATGGCCCTTCCCAGCTCTAACTCCATGTATGATTTTCAGATCCTACAGTTTGGTTTTGGCTAAAATACAGAGCAAGTGACTTTTCAGAAGTAAAGGATTAAAACAACTCTTTTTTTTTTTTACTCTTTTTTTCTTCTTATGATTTAGGCTCCCTGGTTCATGGGTAGACATTTGTAAAATGGAGTAGTTATCTGTGTTTGCAGAGTCACAACTTTGCAATAATGATATTTTCTTGCTCTTTGGGGGTCCATTCCTCTAAGAAGGATCGCTGCTAGTATTGGCTGAAGAAGGGACTTGATGTTCTCATTAAAGTTTTGGCATTAAGAGTTATTGTTTGGGATTTGCTGTCATCATGAAAAAATAGAATTAGTTCCTATTTCTGTAGAACTATCTGGTTTTAAATCTGTTACCTGAAGCAGGAACATTGCTATCCTTTTTGTGGACTCTAAAACTGTATTTCAGATTTAAGCTTGATGTAAGGAAACATTTCCTAACAACTAGAGCCCTGATTCGCTCTGGGTCCCCACTGCCGCCTCCTCCTTCTCTCTCTCCCCCCCATCCCCATCAGAAGTTTTCTAGCAAAGGCTGGAGCACTGCTTGTTTACTGCATTATATGTAAGAGTCTTCTTGGAATGGAGGGACACCAGACAGCCCCTGAGGTCCCTTCCAGCTCTGAAATTCTGTAGTGTGGGTGCCCCTGTCTTGGAGCCTCAGAGCCCTGTCTTCCTTAGAGCAAACAGTCCAATAGGAAAAAGCCACTGTCAAATGGACACTTAAAACCTGGATTTAGGGGCAGCGAGGTGGCGCAGTGGATAGAGCACCAGCCCCGAAGTCAGGAGGACCTGAGTTCAAATTCGGACTTAGACCAAACACTTGACACTTACTAGCTGTGTGACCCTGGGCAAGTCACTTAACCCCAATTGCCAAAAAAAAAAAGCCAAAACCAAAAACCTACATTTATTTATGTAGTGCTTTTTACTATTTACTAAATGCTTCCTCTTTGCTTCCCTGTGAAGTTGGTCTGTAACTAATACTAATGTCTTACAGTGAGAAAATAGAGGCTAAGAAAGTTGATTCATCTTTTAATTTAATTAAATAATCTGGAGTAAGGAATACATCTTAGCCATCATTTGTACAACTCCTACATTAGATTTGGTATGTTTTTGTCATTTCTGCTTAAAGTTGTTTCCGATTCCCTTTTTCCCTTTTTTTCCCTTAGATGAAAGGAGCATTGACTGAAATTATCCAGCTTGCAACCTTGGATTCAGACCCTTGGGTCTTAATGGTAGCTGATATTTTAAAATCGTTCCCAGATACCGGTTCACTCAACCTTGATCTTGAAGAACAGAATCCCAATGTTCAGGATATTTTAGGAGAGCTTAGAGAAAAAGGTACGTTGTGTTTTCATTGAATTGGGGGGATCTGGGTAGGCATATGTTTTCTTCATTTAAAGTGGGTTGTCCTACTTTTGTCACAGATGACACCTTGTAGTTCAAGCAGTCCTTCTTTTTATAAGTAAAGGGGAAATACAGGATTTAAGTGCTCCAGAAACACAGTCCACTGCTCCTAGGGAGTACAAAATAAAAACCTGAGACGTAGTATTTTAAGTTGGTCTGTCAAAGGTTACAGATACATCCCAGACTTAAAACCATAGCCATGAAGGGGCTCTTAGAGATCCTGTGAGCCAACTCCCTTAATGATCCATTGTGTCATCATCAGTTCACTTAATTTGTGATATCATCAGAGTGGTTATTTGTTCTTGGTAACAATCAGAAGCGAGCTGTGCCTCTTCATCTTCTGATTCTTGTCCACTATCTCCCATAGAGTCTTTGCAGGCGACTTCTGTCAGGATCTGTACTTTGTACCAGTACAGACCTTGCACTGTTCATCAGTTATTCCTTGTTTTTGCTATGGGATTGACCCCATCTCCCTTTCCTGTGCTACATTTTCTCAATTGAGGAAACCAATAACTGACCTTTCTTGGATGTTTGTGTTTCTTTTACTTTAAAGTAGTTGAATTAGCCACGCAGAGAGAGAGGTTTGTGCCTGCATGTTTAACATCCCTGTACTGGAGTAATTATATATTGCCTCCCGAGGCTTCTGTATGCTGACTTCCTAATGGATAGCCTCTCTGTAGACTTAGGAATGTTAAAGAGCTCCATCAGTCTTCCCCTACCTCCCAAAAAAGCAAGAAAAAAAACAACTTTGGTTTTCCTTCCTAAAGCATCCAAGTCTTTTTAGTTTCTCATGTTAGGAAATAGGGAGAATAATGAACAAAGCCATAAATTGTGTGTCTTTATGGTATTACCAAGGTCAGTTGTAGTCCCATTTCCCTCCAGCCTTCCAACTAAAGAGCTCCTTCCTTGATCAATGCTGTTAATATATGGAGGTTTTGATGAGCCTTGGCTTAGTGGATAAATGACAAGACTTCTCAAACATAAACACAGTTTCATTTCGTAAGGAACTGTGTTCAAGGCAGAAGTTCTTATTAGACAGAGAGACAGTGAGGTACTGTATTCAAGGAAGGTGCCCTTACTAGATAGACAAATACTAACCTTAGGATTAAGTAGGAGCTACTCTAGAATATTTTTTGAACACCAGTGTAATTATGCACCCCCTCTTTGGAAGCGAAAGGTGCTAGAGATTATTTACAAAACTAGTAGGTGCTATGGGTATTAGATTTATAGCCTGTAATATATTTAACTGATTTCTTGTTTGTTTCTGAAATCACCAAAGTAGGTGATTTACTTATATTACACTTATATACTTAAGGTGAACTACTTATATTAATTTCTGATTCATTGATTGTGGTGAAGGTGACTACAAAATGTGAAGTTTGTAGGTGAGATAGTACATCTTTCTGCTATGCAGTTAGATCATTATAATTTTAAACTACAAATTTTGTTGTGATTTACCTTGTATATCAACTGTAAGAGAACTGTGTTTCCTAATGTATTGTCTGGCTCTTTACTGACAGTTAGTGAATGTGAAGCATCTGCTATGTTGCCTTTGGAGTGTCAGTACTTAAACAAAAATGCCTTGACCACACTTGCTGGACCACTCACGCCCCCTGTGAAGCATTTTCAGTTGAAAAGAAAGCCGAAAAGTGCCACTTTGAGAGCAGAGCTCTTGCAGAAATGTAAGTGTGAGTGTGTATCTAGGAAACCAGGCACCTATAATTTGTGTGATATAAATCTCACTATGTTGTATTTTTATACATGGGGAAATGTTTTACATTTTAAGGGAAAAGTAAACAGGACTGCCTTGGTGCAGGTGTATGATGACCTTTTGTTCTGTTTCAGAAGCTCCTTTGAATGTATTAAAGCAACCAGGTCTTTATTTTCCCATAAAAGTAAAATTAGAATAAGTTGCCTTTACAACGGGAAATCTCAGCATCTACTTTTGTTCTTTTCCTGGTTTAGATTTAGAAAGCCAAGGCAGGTTGTCATATGATTTGGTTGAGCTGGAAGGGGCCAGAGAGATCATCTTTTCTAACTCCCATTGGACAGTTATTAAACTCCATGAATTCTAAGTGTGCTTTCACTCATCTCTATATTCTCAGTGAGTGTTGTATTTCCTTAATAAATGTTTATTGGACTGAATTGACAGATAAAGAAACTGAGGTCCAGAGGCAGCTGCTAAGTGGCACAGTAGATAGAGTACTGGCCCTGGAGTTGGGAGGACCTGAGTTCAAATCCAGTCTCAGACCAGATACTTGACACTTACTAGATGTGTGACCCTGGGCAAGTCATTAATCCCAATTGCCTCGAAAAAGAAACTGAGGTCCAGAGATGTATGGGACTTGCCTAAAGTTCCACAGTGGGCTTGTGATAGAGATTGGGCTAAAATCCAAAATTCTGCTTTGAGCCCACATTACACAGGAAGTAGCATACCTTCACTTTCAGTTAAAAGTTCCCTAAATAATATTTTTGTTTGTTTGGGTCCAGAAATGTGACTTTTATTAATGTGGGGTACTCCCTCCACCAATGAGCAACTTCTTTGTAAGTTGGAGAATTACTTGGAGCCTTAGCTCCATGAATGAATACTGAGACTTCTGAAGCACCAGCAGAGCTGGATTTTGTAAGGAGCTCTCTCTGTCCAAGGCAGGAGCTCTTGTTAGATAGCAGTCTTGTTAGACTAACTTTAGGAACAGTGCTCTGTGAGCATGGCCCTGGGATCCATCCTTGGTTTCCACAGCTATGGTGTCAGAGGAAGGACTTGACCCAAGCTGACTCAAAAGCCATCCTCAGCCTTCTATGCCATGGTCCTTTCAAAGAATACTTTACCGTATCATATACCTATCCTGGAAGAACATCTTTATTTAAGTTAGGGGAATCTGTATAGGAGTGCTGGATTGGTGTCTGACAGATTGGGTTCAAATGCCAATTCTTCCACTTAACTAACTACCCCTGTGACCTTGGTTGGGCACATAACCTCTCTGGGCCTTTTTCTCCTAATCTGTGAAATTGGGTCTTGGGTCATATGAATTCTAAGGTCCCTTTCAGCTCCAAATCTGTTTGAGGAAAATTGAGGAAAGGGTCTTATTTATTTTTGTAACTTTTGGCTTTTCTTGAGCCACAAATTATTTCAGTTTGATACTTAAGCTTTTTACTAGTTATCAAAAGTGGGAACTGTTTTGTAACTTAGTTTTTCCAGATACTTGTCAGAGCTAAATAAAAATCTGTTGTGGGTGATATTGCTGACTGGGGGAGAGGCAGGAAAAAATGTTGGATTTTGTATCTGTCCCCATTTTGCATTGAATTGTGTTACGAGAAACTTGTTTATCCAGAATGTCAAGGGAATAAGATGTTTTGGTTAATTTAATATTCTGGTAATTAATCCCAAATGGGAATTGGAATTCTAGAATTAGAATAAAATATGCTAACAGAAACATTTGTTGTAGAAGGAACTTTAGAACCTTAAAGGTCTTAAATGTTTTATACGTACCTTATAGCTAAGTGGTTTCGTGCTTCCCCCTCAGCCCCTGGCCTTCTTTTCATACAACAACTGTTTGTCTGACCATCACTCCCTCATTCTCTTTTCTCTAGCCTTGGGGATGTGGTATGCATGCAGTGCCTTTGTTTTACTTCTTTTCATAGCTCAGTTGTTTCCTGTCCAATGTCTTGTTACTGTTGCCTGGATTGACTTAGGAAAATGATGTTGATTATGAGGAGGAGGGAGGCGGGGATGATAAATCACGTTTAGTTCTCATTTTCAGTGCTGACAAGTATGCACTGCATTCATTCAACTCCATTCCATTTGTGAGCTAAAAAAGACAATACTACCAGTCTGGATAGATGTAAAAGTTATGCTAGTGATGGGCCCATATGGGAAAAGAGAACTATTAAGGTTTGAGTTGAAATTAGAAATACTGAAGAATCAGTGCTACCAAAAACTGCCCACAAATTTCCTTTGCATTCTTCAACTTTTTGGAAGTTTCTTTTTATTACCTCTTCTAGTTTAATTTTGTTTTTCAGGCACTAGCATTCAGGAGTAAAACGCACAGACAGCTTTATTTTTTGTTTTTAATGGATGTTGCATTAGGCTATTCCCTTTTCTCGTTGTAGTTAGTCAATATCTCAACTCTTATGATTTAAATAGGTTTCTTTAGGCTGGTCTTAGCACATATATCCACAGGAAAAAGTATTCAAATTCCAAATGACTATTCCCGGTAACTTGGTCCATTTTTAAGTGTGAAGACCTCCTTTACAAAAACCTGCTTCCTTAAGCTCTTCTCAGGCTTGCTTTCTAAATGAGTGACAGGTCTTTGTGTTCAGAAAAGCAGTTTTGTAGGAATAGATGTTTGTGACTCACGCCCTTTTCTTTTTTCGTAGCCACAGAGACTGCCCAGCAGCTCAAGAAAACAGCTGGAGTACCTTTCCATGCCAAAGGAAGGGGATTGGTCAAAAAAATTGATACCACAAGTAAGAGTTCCATAACTTCTAGTGTTTAAATTGGAGGCAAAATGTTTGCAGGCACAAGTGAAGGCAGTATCCCTGTCTTGTCTCTGGGTGTTCATAAGGAAGAGGTTTGTGAGTTGCCCCATTGTCCTATATGGTAGTTTGATTTGAAGATATTTATTCTTTTCCCATTTGGAAAATTCAAATGCATAAAAGCTATGAAACATAAAATTGGCATAAGTTTACTAAACTGCATTAGTTATACATGATAAGACAAGATGAATTTTATAAACTCTTTACATATAGTCATTGCCTGCAAAGATGTGTCAGAATGTGTAAAGAGAGGTGTGTGTTTCAGTTTCAAGTTTGCCCATCTAGCCTTATTCATAGTAGGACCATATTAGATTGAATTTCCAGTAGTGCATAGGTATAGCAGTAGCTTGGTGACATGGTGTTATTGCCTTGGTGTTATATTATAATTGTATGGTATGGCCACCCAAATAATTATATGCAGATCACCAAGGTATCCAGAGCCCTCAAACCACTTGACTTGCTTTTTCAAGTTTGTCTAGTCCTGTTTTAGAGCAGGGGTCATTTGGCAATCTAGGCCACATTCCCATTTCTCCACCTGCCTATTTTTGTACGGCCCATGAGGTAAGTATGTTTTGTGTTTTAAAATATAGTTTTATTGTATTTTAAAATGTAAAGACCATTTTGAGCTCAAAAAATGACCTGTAGTTTGCCCATTTCTGTTTTAGAGCCACGCTTTCCACTAAGACTACATGTACAGAGTTAAACAGGAGAGTTTTATATTGCTATTTTATCTGTTAATGGTATTTTCAGTTAAATATATCTTACCTTTGGGTGGGGCTTTTGAATATGCCTTGTAACATTACTTACCATTGTTCCATTTGTCTCCCTCCCTCATTGTTATCCCCTTTTAGCACCTCTTAAAGGCATCCCGAAACAGGCTCCTTTCAGAAGCCCAACCACACCCAGTGTTTTTAGTCCTGCTGGAAACCGGACTCCAATCCCCCCTTCTCGAACCCCTCTACGAAAAGAACGGGGAGTGAAGGTAGGCAAATTGTCTTGGACTTCCTTTAGCATTTCTTTCTTCTTCCACAAGTTGGTAGCCTTTGAAGCAAAGTCATGTTATTTGCTGTTGTCTGTCTTAATAAAGGTTTTGGATTTTGGTTTTTTGGCAGTTACTAGATATTTCAGAGCTGGATATGGTTGGTGCAGGCCGAGAGGCAAAAAGAAGAAGAAAGACTTTAGGTGTGTATGATGGGTTCACGACCCACTTCCTCTCTACTAAAGGATGTTTGAAAATTTTACTTTGGCTTTTCAAGGAATTGGGGAAATGCCAGGCTGCAGAGGAGCTGTAGAATCTTAGGATTACAGAACTTCAGAGTTGGGGAGAATCCTTTTCTCTTTGCCCGGAAGGAAACTGACACCCAGAGAAGGGGAAGGGGAAGCCTCTCAGTTTGTGAAGGGAATGGCTTAGAATCTGTAACTGGCCTCTAGCTCAGTTGTTTTTGGACTGAAGCACTTCCTTAAAGCATGCACTTCTTCCAGTCCAATTGTAATTTGTTTCATCCCTAAAAAGAGACTTATCTTTCATATTTTATTTTTCCACAAATTATAGTGGATCTTTGATCTCGTCAGTGTGGGTCCTCCTTGGTGCAGACTGCCATCCTCTGGAGGGAGGTCTTTAACTTGTTTTTTGTTGACAGTTGTATAGTTTTGAGGTTATCCTTCTGTTAGTGCTGCTGTTTTGCTCTGTGACAGCCTCACCTCCTTTTCTGATTGCCAGACTGCTCCATCTCTCACAACACTTCATGTATTTTAGCTGTTCATTGGAGACTGGCTGTGTGCAGCCTGCTTATGCCTATTATGGTGGGGGGGAAGAGGGGAGGGGAACAGGAGCAGAGGGTGTGGAGAATCATGTCAATCTGAGACTATCTCTAAACATTTATCTTCTCTTATTGATAATGTTCTGTGAATTAGCGACAAAAGTTAGTCTGAGACTGAAAAAAATTACCCTTTGTGAACCTTAGAACACTATAGAAATGCTAGCTGCTTTTGTAACTATAAAGATGGGGTGACGCTTTAGGCTGGGCCTTTTGTTAAATATGTGAGGGTGACCTTCAGAAGTTAACTTAAGGTTTAAATTGGGTTTTAAGCAAATAATTGGTTTGAAGATTTCAAAACAGTCTTGAACTGAACACACATTATGGTACATAAAAATTTCAAAGTTATACTTTCTTTAGAAAGGAGCTAAAGATTGGATTTGTTTCTTAGTTGTATAGAGTATTTAACAAATAGTTTACTTAGGCCTTTTTTTTCCTTAATCATCAATAGATACAGAAGTTGTGGAAAAGCAAGCCAAAGAAGAAACTGTTGTCGAAAACGCTACTCCTGATTATGCTGCTGGCCTTGTCTCTACCCAGGTTGGTCTCAGCATCATCTATATGTTTGATGATAGTTTTGTTAAAGTTCTCTGGAGTTTTATTTTGACAAAAGTATAGTTTTAGACTTCAGCTCATGAACTTTTATTGATATTCAAATCCATCAAAGAATATTGAGTATACCATTACATTTATTTTAAGACACTCGGCTCACATGGAAAAGGATCCTCTCTGGGCTGGTCATGACCCAGACTTGACATGTGAGATGCAGACTGTATTTTTTCCCTTAAAGAAGGAGAGGGTTGTATCTCCTGTTCCTCTTCTGAGAATGATCAAATAAATCAACCAGCGTTCTCAGTCTAGCAGAAGGAAAGACCACAAGATTTCTAGTCTTGGCTCTGCCACTAGCTATGGTCACACAATGACAAATCATCTTACTTTGAAACCGGATTTCTGCTGTTTTCAAGGTTGTTGCAAGGATAACAATATCTGGCGAACTGCTTCAGAAAGCTAGAAGCCATATACATATGAAGTTGTGAGGCTAGCAAATGGAGGTGTTTGGAATTGTGGGAGAATGTAACTTTTTAAAATTTAAGATCAGGCTTTTTGTAGTTAGTTATATAACTCATGAGGAATTGCAAAAACTTTTACAGAAACTTGGTTCTTTGAACAATGAGCCTGCACTACCTTCTACAAGCTACTTGCCTGCAACTCCAAGTGTGGTTCCATCATCATCCTACATACCAAGCTCTGAAACACAGCCAGGCAAGTGGTCTTTTACTTGTATCACTCCTTTGAATACTTAACTGGATAGCTAGCTTATGTGCACTTAAAAAGTATTCTTTCATTCAGATGAAGGAAAAAGTATCTTATTATAATAGATCCTTCCAGGTCAGTTCCATTCATACAAAGCCATGAAGTTTGTTTTTGTTCTTTAACGAAATGAATTTATTCTGTAACATGGTAAACTTTTAGGAATAACAAAAGCACAAGTCCCATATGGTCAAGGTCCAAGTAGACAGGTTGGCTTTGGCAAGAAGAAGGTCCACCTTCCCCTCAGAGATTGGAGCAAAGAAAGAGAGAATAGGCAGTGGTAGGAGGGAGTTTTGTTTAGGGAGAAGAAAGAACTGGAGGGAAATCAGAGGTAAGATCCCCCTCTGGGAGAAAGACATACTGTGGATGATGTAAGAAGCTTGAGGAAAGAGGAGGAGAGGTTTGGGGTAGTTGTTATGGGGAACGTGGTAGTCTGAGACCGCAGTTGTGACCTCCAGGATGTATTCTGCAGGATGCATGTAGGAGAGCCAAAGGTGGGGCTTTGGGGAGGACCTACAGATGGACAGGACTGCCAGGAGAGTGAGGCTGTGTGGGCACAGTGAAGAAGAATATACTTAAGGAGGGGTCAGGCAGAGGGAGAGACGGAAGGAGAGGAGGTTGTCATCTGAGAGAAGAGTTTTAGAGCTGTGAATCATGGAGGTAGAATAGTTATGGGCAGTGGTGACATCTTCATGGGTTTGAGAGTTCCTCTTAGTGGCTGAGGTGGATTGAAGTTACGTGCTATGAAGTATGTGGGCTGAGAAGCCAGGTGGCTTGAAGTCTAAAAGTACCATGGCCTTGCTTAAGGAGGAAGAATGCTATAAGCCGATACTGAACTCCGTAAGAAAGGAGTAGGGAGCGACCTTTGGGCCTGTAGAACCTCAGTCAGGCTCTAGGTATGGGTGTGAGCTAAACTCAGGCAAGGGAGAAGAATGATCCAGGTCAGTAGACAGATAAAGCCAGGATCTGAATAGGGTGACAGAGACAGATGAAGTGAACTTCCAAGAAGGGGCTGCCGAGTGATGGCAGCCAAGGGAGTGTCTGGGCCTGGCACTGAGGAGCAAGGGACCATGCCTGGGAAGGCACATCCAGGACTGACACCACCCAGGGATGCTATAACCTTTGGGGGCTGAAAGGAGCATGAGAAGAGCAGGGAAGTTGATTACCAGAGGACCCAGTAGCAGGGAGTGGGCAGAGGAAACTATAAGCTCAAGTGAATTTATGTATTCTGATTTCATCTCTCTTCTTTTTTTTTTCTTTTTAAAAACTTTAATTAATTAATTTTTAGTTTTCAGCATCCACTTCCACAAGACTTTGAGTTCCAAATTATCTCCCTATCTTGCCCCTCCTCCCATGCATTCTGAATACTCCTTCCCCCAATCTGCCCTCCCTTCTCAAAAATGCATTAAATTCCTTTACATCATTGAATGTCAGTTTTTTCTCCTCATTGATTATACATTGATTATTTTGCTGGGTAGGTGATTCTTGGTTGTAATCCTAGTTCCTTTGAACCTCTAGAATATTATATTCCAAGCCCTCCAGTCCGATAATGTAGAAGCTGCTAAATCTTGTGTTATCCCGATTATGTTTCCACAGTACTTGAATTGTTTCTTTCTGGCTGCTTGTAGTATTTTCTTCTTGACCTGGGAACTCTGGAATTTGGCTGTAATATTCCTGGGAGTTTTCCCTTTGGGATCTCTTTCAGGAGATGATTGCTGGATTCTTTCAATTTCTGTTTTGCCCTCTGGTTTAAGAATATCAGGACTGTTTTCCTTAATTTCTTGAAAGATGATGTCTAGGCTCTTTTCTTGATCATGGCTTTCAGTAGTCCAATAATTTTTAAATTCTCTCTCCTGGATCTGTTTTCCAGGTCAGTTTTTAAAATGAGATATTTCACATTGTCTTCCATTTGTTCGTTCTTTTGGTTTTGTTTTATAATTTCTTGATTTCTCATATAGTCATTAGCTTCTATTTGCTCTGTTTTAATTTTTAAGGAATTATTTTCCTCTCAGTGAGCTTTTGGACCTCTTTTCCATTTCGCCAATTCTGCTTTTTAAGGCATTTTTCTTCTTATTGGCTTTTTGAACTTCTTTTGCCATTTGGATTAGTCTGTTTAAGTTGTTGTTTTCTTCAGTATTTTTTTTTGGGTCTCCTTTAGCAAGTTGTTGACTTGCTTTTCATGATTTTTTTGCATTACTCTTCATTTCTCTTCCCAATTTTTCCTTTATTTCTCTTACTTGCTTCTTAAAATCTTTTTTGAGCTATTCCATGGCCTGGGACTAGTTCATATTTTTCTTGGAGGCTTTGGCTGTAGGAGCTTTGGCTTTATTGTCTTCTTCTGGTTGTATGTTTTGATTTTCTTTATCACCGAAGTAAGATTCTGTAGTCTGAGTTTTTTTTACACAGTTTGATTATGTTCCCAGCCAATTACTGCTTCCAGTGTAGAGGGTGTACTGTCCCAAGTTTTAAGGGTTTTGTGCAGCTGTTTTCAGAGATATTTCTAGGAACCTGTAAATTGTCAATTCTTCCAAGGTGGCATGATTAAAGGCGAGGTGTTTACTCCTCTCCTGGCTGGTGCTCTAGTCTATGAGTGATCACAAGCGCTCTTTTCTGCCTTTGAACTATGAGGAGGATTCCCTCTTCACCACCACATCAGTGCTCCTCCAAGAGCCAGATCCAAGCACAGGCAAAGCAAGAGAATCTTGCCTCAGCACCAGCAAAGAGATCCCTGCAAATCCCTCCCTGATCAGCCGCTCAACCCCCCCCTCCTTCTATGGGCTGAGAGCTCCAGAAGCAGCGACCCCAGGGCTGTGTTAGAACTGGGGCTGGGACTGAGCTTTTCTCACCACAGTCACAGACTTTTCCTACTGGCCTTCTAAGTTGTCTTTGGTGTTTGTGGGTTGAGAAGTCTGGAAATTGCTACCTCTGCTAGTGATTCAAGTCTTCTGAGTCCTGCTTCAGATTTGTAGAGGCCTAGTCTTTGCTTTTGCAGCCCACACTGAACTGCACTCCTCTCCTCTCCCAGCCTGGCACAGTAGACCTTTCCAGTCAACCATCCAGGTTGTCTTTGGCTGGAAATTTGTTTTACTCTGTCTTTTTGTGGGTTCTGCTGCTCTAGAATTTGTTAAGAGCCATTTTTTACAGGTATTTGAAGGGGTTTGGGGGAGAACTCAAGCAAATCACTGTCTTTACTCTGCCATCTTGGCTCTGCCTCTCCCCTCTCTCTTCTTACATTTCTCCTGACTAACAGTTTTAAAACATTTGAGGGAAAAAAGGTGTTTCCCATATTAAGTTTCCAGACTCCTATGATTTGCTATTGCTGATTGAGTGAGAGTTAGATTCCTTACCTGGACTTCCATAGTTTGGAGCCACCTTATCTTTCCAGCCTAATCTGGAAATGCTGCTCTCCTGCAGCATGCACTTCAGCCAGCCTCTTCTTCTGGTCTGAACACATCTCACACTTGGCCTCCTCTAAAGATGTTCTCATGCTCTCCCAAGCCCATTTCATTCTAGAATGTGACCTGTTAGGGCTGATGACACTCCTAGCTCATTGTAGATTGCCACATTGATTGGACGGACGTGTAGCTGCGATAGCCAGAGGTGAGTTCAGAAGAGAATGCCAAGAGGATGGATGTGCATATCTACACACCCACCCACATGCACATGCACACACCCATACCCATATTCATCCTCCTCAGGTTCTCCCAGCTTCCCTATCTCCCCTCTGTGTAAGTGCTGCCTGACCTCAGACCACTGGCTTCAGCCTTGAAATGCCAGGGCCATTCCCCTGCTCCCTGATGGGCCCCTACCACCTTGTTCAACAATCAGCTCTTAATAAGTGTTTGCCCAGATGAGTGAAGCAGTGGGTGAGGACTTGGTGATGGAGCCTTGCTGTCAAAGCCTATGCACATGCCTCCTCTTTGGATCAGAGAGTGAGGGCCGGAAGGAGCCCTGAGCCCCAGTCAAGTTTAGCTGTCTCATTTTACAGACATCCCCCCACCCCCACCCCGGCCTGTCTCCCAGTGGGCGTCCAGACCAGTAAGTGACAGTTGGGTCACAGTTGGCTGCTCCTGTGCACTCTTTGTACTTCTGTGGAATCCAGTCCTTGCCTGAGATCTTCATGGCTTCACTTGTGTGCACCTCATGTGCCAGCCAGGGTCTAAGCTTGAAACCACAGGACCTTATCTTTTTGTTTTAGCGGGGTGGGAGGAGAGGGAGGGGGGTTAGGCCTCCACATCTTCCCAAGAAACAGAGGAGGGAAGGATAGGTGTAGGCCAGCACTGATCCTAGCTGACTTTCCCCACGGGTCTGAAATGCCAGCAGGCTGTCCACCCACCCATCTTCCAGCTCTTTCAGCTGCAAAGTCCTCTGCCTCTTTTGAAAAGCTCTGAGTGAATTTTGAGTGCTGATATTAAGAAGCAAGTTTGTATTAGGCATGAGATTATACTTTGATTCCTCTAACTTTATACCTGCAGCTCCTTCGGCTCGAGAGACCTTGCAGACTATCCGGCAGCCAGACGAGCCTGCAACCGCAAACACTACTCTTCCTGCTCAGTTCAAGCAGAGGACACCCCTATACAACAGCAATGCCAACCCTGCTCCTGCAGCTGCTGCTCCACCTACCTCACCTCTGACCCCTACGACCCTGCCTGCTGTCGCCCCTGCAGCACAGACTCCTCCCGTGGTGCCACAGACCCAGCCAGCCCCCCAGCCGCAACCCAAGAAAGGTCTATCCCTCACGGTATGTCTGCTCTCCTGCCTCACCTGCCCCCTCAGAATCTCTGACCTCCTCTAGTCTGTAAAGATTCAGCTTAGAAGCCACTTTCTTTTTTATTTTTTCCTTCCGATTTTTAGACATTATTATTTTAAGTTTTGAGTTCCAAATTTTATCCCTGCCTCCACTCCCCACTCCGTGACATGGTAAGCACTTAGATATAGGTTATATATGTGCAATTGTGTAAAACATTTCCATATTCGGAAACATTTTCTACAAGAAGATTCAAATAAAAGAAAAAAATGGAAGAAAGAAAATGAAAAATAGTGTGCTTATGTCTGCTTTCAAACAGTGTCAGTTCCTTCTCTGGAGGTGGATAGTATGCTTCATTCTTGGTCCTTTGGGATTATCTTGGATCGTTGTATTACTGAGAATTAGCTCAGTCATTCGTAGTTCTTCATCAAACAATCAATATTGCTGTTACTGTGTACAACATTCTTCTGGTTCTGTTCCCTTCACCATGTACCAGTTCCTAAGGAAAAGCCTTTCCAGGTTCTTCTGAAATTATCCTGCTTGTCATTTCTTGTAGCACAATAATATTCTATCACAATCATATACCACAGCTTGTTTAGCCATTCCCCAACTGATGACATCCTTTTTATTTCTAATTCTTAGCCACCACAAAAAAAGCTGCTATAAATATTTTTATGCAAATAGATCCTTTTTTTTTTAAATGTCTTTGGCATATAGACCTAGCAATGGTATTGCTGGATCAAAGGGTATGCACAGTTTTATAGCTCTTTGGGCATAGTTCCAAGTTGCTCTTCAGAATGGTTGGATCAGTTCACAACTCCACCAACAGTGCAATACTGTCTCAGTTTTCCCACGTCTGCTCTGACATACAGCGTTTTCTTTTTTTGTCCTATTAGTCAATCTGACAGGTGTGAGGTAGTGCCTCAGAGTTGTTTTAATTTGCTTTCTCTGATCAGTAATGACTTAGTGCATTTTTTCATATGACCATAGGTAGGTTTGATTTGTCTGAAAACTGACTGTTCATATCCTTTGACCATTTAGCAATTGGGGAATGACTTGCATTTTTATAAATTTGACTTAGTTCTCTATATTTGAGAAATGAGGCCTTTATTAGAGCTACTTGTTACAAAATTTTTTTCCCCGTTTTCTCTTTTCTTATAATTTTGGTTATATTGGTTTTGTTTGTGCAAAAACTTTTTAATTTTATATAATCAAAATGATCTGTTTTACATTTTGTAATACTCTCTATATCTTCTTTGGTCCTGAATTCTTCACTTATCCATAAATCTGACAGATAAACTATTCTGTGCTCTCTTAATTTGCACTTTCCGCGGGATGCCTTTTCTGGTCACATCAGCAGCTAGTTCTGAGGTAACCTCCCATCTCTTCTGTATGCATCTGGTTTATGTACCTATTTACTTACATCCTCTTTTCCCTTTTAGTATGTGAGCTTTATGAGTGCAGGGACTTTTTGCTTTTCCTTGTATCCCTGACACTTAGTACATTACCTGGCACATAGTAAGCATTTAATTAAGTAGATTTTAATTTTAATTAGTGTTTGGTTTAATTGATGGATTTAGAGGAACCTGGGTTTAAGTCTGTTTTGCCACTTACCCTGAGCTCATTTAACCTCATTGGGCTTCATTTCTTCTCTCCCTTGGGGCTAATAGCACATGTACTAGCCTATCAGAAAAATGTGAGGAAAGGGCTTAGTAAACTTTAAAGTGTCCTAGAAATAGGGATTGATATCATTAGCTATAGGTATTTTGTCAAGTGTTACAAATTTGGATCTAACCATTTTGGAGAGCAATTTGGAACTATGCCCAAAGGGCTACAAAAATGTGCATACCCTTTGACCCAGCAATAGCACTTCTAAGGCTGTATCCCAAAGAGATCATACAAATTGGAAAAGGACCCACATGTACAAAAGTATTTATAGCAGCTCTTTTTGTGGTGGCCAAAAATTGGAAATTGAGGGAATGTCCATTAGTTGGGGAATGGCTGAACAAGTTGTGATATATGAATGTAGTAGAATACTATTGTGCTATAAGAAATAATGAACATGCAGACTTCAGAAAAACCTGGAAAGACTTGTATGGTCTGATGCTGAATGAAGTGAGCAGAACCAAGAGGACTTTGTACACAATAACAGCCACATTGTGCAATGACTAATATTGATGGACTTAAAACCCTTCTCAGCAATACAAGGATCTAAGACATCTCCAGGGGCCTCATGACGGAAAATTCTATCCACATCCAAAGAAGGAACTATGGAGTTTGAATGCAGATCAAAGTACTATTTGCTTTTTTTTTTCTTCAGTTGTGTTTTGTTTCTTCTTTCTGGTGGTTCCTCCTGTTGGTTCTAATTCTTATTTACAACATCACTAATGTGAAAATTCTGTTTAATAGAAATGTATATGTATAGCCTATATCAGATTGCATGCTGTCTTGGGAAGGGAAAAGGGGAGGGAGGGGGAGAAAAATTTTAAACTCAAAAGCTTATGGAAGTGATTGTTGATAAATCTAAAGAAATTAATTTTTAAAAAAGTATTACAAATTTGGAGGTAACAGGGTAGTGGGGAAAGCACTAGAATGGAATTTGGAGAACCTAGATTTTCTTCCAGGTTCTTCCATTAATTTATGTGACCTTGGATAAGGCCTTTGATCTTTCTGAGCACGTTGTGGTTGTGGTTTGTCCTTTGTTCTTGAAGAGGACCATGACCTCAGGAAGGTGATGCCATGACTTGCAAGTGAATTGGATTTAGGTGAGGGAGGGCTGGGCAAAGTCACCAGCCTCACTTTCTCCTCCCATAGCCATGTGGGTCCAGTGGCCAGATATAGATTAGGATAACTGGAGATGACCCAGGATGCAGTGGGAGACCTTGGCCATTTTAAGCTAAGGTCTTTTCTTTCAAGTTCCCACTTTGACTGGGGCAACTCCCATTTGGTGATTAGGGCTGTTTTAGAAATGACCCAAGGGATGGTCTCTTTAATTTAAAAAAATAGTCATCAAACTGGGATGGGAAGACCCTCAGGGTCTCTTCTGGCCAAAAGAGAAACAATTAATATTTACATTCACTCTGAGCCATCTGGACCCAAAAAATAACCATTAATCGGTGCTTGGGTAGGGACCTGTTGTTGGCCAGTCAATGAGAGCCGGAGTGAATTGGGTTTGAGGCATGGTCTTTAAGAAAGAAATTTAGCCAGTAAACCCCAAGATATCAGAGTAGGTTTCAGCCATCAAAATCTACCTTCCTTTGAGCAGAGCACCCTCAGATAAGGGCATGATGCCTCATGTGGAGAGAGGAGAGGAGAGGAGCTGAGTTGCCCAACTGGAACTGGGTCCCCAGTGGGGCAGCTGGGAATACTCACAGGTTGTGATTTGTCCTTCGTTCTCATTGAGGACCATGACATCAGGAAGGTGAAGGGCATGTGAGTTGGATTTAAGTGAGGGAGGGCTGTGCAAAGTCGCCAGCCTCCCTTTCTCTTCCCTCTGAGCACGTTATTTTTCATCTGTAAAATGAGAGGTTCTTGAACCTTAGGAAGGAGACTGGAGAAGGTGATCTCCATAATCTCCTTCAGCTCTTATTTCCTGTCTCTTATATGTCAAAGGTTTTAAGTTTGTGTCTGAGTTATTGAATAAATTAGTTTGGAGGTGACTAATTCAGCCTGCTGTTGTAACAAAATGGACTAGTACTGCAGCACCTTTCCAGCAGGCCCAAACTGCTGTCTCTGATGGGGAGACACACATCCCTGACCTAGGATTGGTAGTAAACATTAAAGCATGTTTGCTTTGGTTTTTTAGATCCTATCTAGGTCCCTAATATGCTGCCTGTATCTCTAGATACAAATTCTGCTACTACCTAATATTTATTGAAGGTCTCTTTTAGAGGGAAGCCAGGGTTTGAGCCTTCTGCATGTGGTCAAGTCCCAAAGAATGTGAAATCCATATGTGGGTCTCACTTACAGAAGGAGGAGGCCTCAGGATGTTTAGTCCAATATATACATGAATAAAGATATATTCAGTAAAATCTCTGACCAAGTGTCCATCCTGCCCTCCAGTGATAGAGAGCTCCCAGCTATCCAAGGCGCCTAATTCCACTTTTGAACAGCTCTTCTTGTTGAGAAGTTTTTCCTTACATCAAACCCAAATTACCTTTCCAACCTCCACAGTCTGCCAGTTCTACTCTCTGAGACTAAGAGAATAAGTCTAAAATGTCTGCCCCATGATAGCCCTTCAGATACCAGAGGACAGAATGCATCCCTTCTCCACATGGCTTTCATCTGGCATGGTCTCCCATCTGCCTCCTCCCTCCCACTTTGCCAGTTTTTCTCCTAAAATATGACTCTTAGAACTGCACAGAGCACTGCAGATATAGTCTGACCACAGTAGAGGATAAAGGGCCCATCCTCTTCTTTCTTCTGGGCTCTTCCTTTTGCATGACATCATGTTCCCTTTTGTGGCTGTACCATCACACTGTGGTCAGCCACATAGCCCATGACAGTCAGTGGTGATGAATTTCCTCTTTACTTGGGGGTCTTTTAGGCAACTTGTTAGCTGGGGTGGGGCAGTTTTGGGGGAAGTGCATGTTAGGGAAGAGAGATGGCTCAACTAATGATGACATGACTTCATGGGGAAGGAATGCTAGATGTGGATTCAGAGAACTTGGAACCAAGTCCCAGCTTCCTCATCCTCCTACCTGTAGTACCGGAGTTAAATAACTTAGATTCTCTAAACCTCGAGTTCCTCATCTTTAAAATGAGGCCTAAAATGGCCCCAAAGTCTCTTCCAGCACTAAATCTGTGTTCCTGTGGTGTTAGGACTTGGACCTGCAGCAGTGAAGAGATACTCTGGCAGTTTTGAAATGTTCTGGAGGGAGGAAAAGAATTAGAACAGGAGAGAGAGAGAGAGAGAGAGAGGTCCACCAAGCCCAGAAAGTTCACTTTGTCACTTCGAGAAAGACTAGTGGCATATGTGCAAATAAATTTAGTCCTTGGCTGGGCTTTGAGGTTGACTTCAGTAACTTTGTGAGATCTGTGACTTCCTAAGGTGGGTCCTCTTTCCACTGATGCTCTCGAGGAAAGTATACTGTGGTGAGTTATCATGGGGCCATTTGTGGGGCAGAGCCTCTGTGCCCTCCTCTTAGATGGGCCAGGGAGGGCAGCTGCCCTTTTAGTTGACATGCCTGGCCTTGAAGCTTCTTTGGCCTAGGAGATGTGCCAGAGCTCACACCCAGACTCTTGAGAGGCCAGGCTCCTTCGTCCACCAGGACTGTTCACCATAATGTGGCTGCCTGTGCCCCAGGGCTTGTGGAAGAACTTCAGTTAGACTTTGAACCAGAGACAGTTTTCAGATCTGGTAAAATGTGATCCTCTTTCCTTAACTGTCTGTATTTATTCTCTTGTGTTTAGAGGGAGCAAATGTGTGCTGCACAAGAAATGTTCAAGACTGCAAACAAAGTGACCAGGCCCGAGAAGGCGCTCATCCTGGGCTTCATGGCAGGATCCAGGGGTGAGGAGACATTCTCTCTGCTAAACTTGAAGGAGTTTTTAGTTTCGGGTTTTTGTTTTTGTTGCATAAATAGTATTTTATTTTTTCCAGTTATACATAAAGATGGTTTCATCATTCATTTTTATAAGATTTTGAGTTCCAAGTTTTGCTCCCTGCCTACCTCTGAAGGGTTTTTCTGGGCCGTTTGTCTATGAAGTAGATTTTCATTTGATTTATGCTTGTGTGTATCCCCCACCTTTGGACTGAACACATCCAACCTCCGCCAGGTTGGCTGGTCCATTTGATACCTTGTCTAACCCCTAACCCCAGGTAGGGTAATAGAGCAGAAAGGACTGTAGGACTTCAGGAATCTGTGGTTTCACTGGGGAAGATTCTCCCCTCTCCCCTCCCCCCCAAGCGTAGATCAGAGCCTGAGCACATCCTAGGAGCCTGACCTCACGAATACTGTGGCTAAATGGCTGCATTCCTGGTGTGGAGTCTCTGCGGCTTTCACTAGCCAAGTCCTGCCCTTGGGCCTGCTGCACTTGAAGCTGTGTCACAGCTTGTGCTCCCTCCCTCCTAGCCCTGCCTCACAGGGAGGGCTGAGTGAACGGACCTCATAGAGCTGCGTAAATCATCTTAGTAATCTGGGCTGGTGCTTCATTATGCAGGAAAATTGTATCATGATGGTTTAGTTCCTTAAAAACACTGTCTGTTTTGTCTGTCAGTGTATTCCTAAAGGGGTAGGAAATGGCCTATATCTTACTGTTTTTTGAGAAATGAACTAGATGGATTCCAGTTTGCAGCACACATTCTAAATCTTTATTTTCCTTTCTTGCTTGATTCTCTTTTTTCTGGTGTTTTGTCTGCACAGAGAACCCTTGCCAAGAGCAGGGTGACATCATTCAGATCAAGCTCAGTGAGCACAGAAGTTCTTGACAAAGCTGACGGCACGGGAAGCACCACCATGTTAGTTGACACAGTCTTTGAAATGAACTATGCCACTGGCCAGTGGACCAGGCTCAAGAAGTATAAGCCCATAACAAATGTTTCCTAGAGGACCCAGGACGAGACTGCGGGGACCGAGCCAGAATGGGCAGCCGCCTCTGCTGAAGAGATGGCAGAGATGGCCCTTGACCCAAGGACATCCACACTCTGTTTCTTGTTCCCTTCCAGGCTAACTTTTACCCAGCCCCACCTTGGGAGTGTGCTCTGAGTGACAGCTGCACAGACTGAGGCCTGGTAGATTGGTAGGGTTTCTAAAATGAAAAAGGTGGACTGCGTGTGCCACGTCCTAGTCCTTCCTCCAAGAACTTCCTCTCTGGATGAGCAAAGCTCCATTCCAAACCTGGGGAGGAAAGATGATTTATGAGATTGCTTTCAAATTTTCTCTTAAGCTAAGATGATAAATTCCCTGCAGATTTGTACGACCTTGTGCTTTAGCTCATTTTGCTAGGAAAAAAAAATGGCATGTGAGGCGAGTTGGGCGATCCTGTGCAGTCTGAATGCATTCATGTCAGTGCACTATAAAATAAGGACTCCCAGAAGCATTAATCTCTCTTTAGCCTAGATGAGCACCCCATTTACCCCTTAGTATTGGGACGTCAAGTATTGCCAAAACTAACACTCTCACATTGCTTGCAAACTATCTGATTGGCCCTTTGCCTTGCTGGCAGTCTGGCTGGACATCGGTGGCATCTGCCCCCGGGCTTCCAAGGGCCGCAGCATCGAGAAAGGTCGCATAATTTTGAGTAGGCCATGGTGTGAGGTGAGATGGGTTGTCATGCTGGTCCTCAGACTTATCCAAGGGCGGGCATGCTCACAGTGTGATGGCTTCCTTCTTCCTGGGGGCGTAGGAAAGAGGTGAGAACAGCTATGAGAATGCATACGAAAAGCTGGGGCTTCTGCCCTGGTTGCAGAGACTTAAGGCTAGGTTTATTTTTATCTGTTCACAGGCCATGTGAATGGTCTTAGTGCTGGGACCCCAGGGGAGCATGGGAGCAGATCTCTGGCCATTTAAGCCCCTCTTACTTGTTGGGTAGAGCCTTAAGAACTATTTGAGGTCTTTAAACCTGTTTGTGTGTGTACAGTGGGCATGGCCCTCACTTCTGGCTTCTTCAGTCACATCATCAGGAGAGGCAACATGTTGATCTAAACTGATTCTAGCTTTTCCTTTTTGGTTCAAGTCTGAAACAATCAAGACCTTTGGTTTGGGGTAGGGGATGGGGTTGGAGCAATAATTCAGAGGTGCAAAGCCAGATTGTTACTCTGAAGATAAATGTTTACATGTGTAGTGTCAGCTGGTAGCAGCGGCACAAGGATTGGGCCCCACGGGGGGGGTTCCTATGGTTGGTGTTTGCTGGAGGGTCATTTCAGAGCCACTCTGTGTTATCTGACCACTCCTGACCATGTGGTGTGCAGGTACCGCCTGCGTTAGTTTTCAGAGTAAGTCCTCTGGAATGAATGGTAGGGTTGGTTTTAGTTATTCCTGGGGGGGAGGGGAAGAGAAGACTTGGGGTGTTCTTTTTTAGATGTTTTGTTTTGGGATTTAATGTTACATTTTGCAAAGCTAAATTTAACCAAAAAAAAATAAGTTAGAGAGTTTTCTTAATTTTAGTGACTGATATTCCTGTTGGCCTTTTATCCAACTTAAATTTTTTTAAACAGAAATCCTGGTAATTGTTAACTGAGTTATTTTTCTATTGAGATGTATCTGTGTGTGAGTAGAAAGTTAACTGCTTTGAACTGCAGGACCTGGCTGCAAGCATAGAACACAGAGTGGTGTTGGAGACTTGCGGCCTTTGCAGTTGGGAGAGTTCTTCCCCTCCCGTGATGTGGGCTCAGACCAGCCTGAGGGTGACGGTGACCAGACACGGCCACTCCATCCTCCAGAGCTGAGGTGGTATCCATGGGCTCTCTGGTGGGCGGGAAGTAGAAGTGATGATTCCTGTGGGGTGCTGGGGCCAGAGTCAGTCACTGGAGGAGCATAGAGGCAAGGGGAGGAGTGGCTGCAGCCCTCTGGAGAGGGGCTCCCACTTCTGAGTTTCCTGCGTGTATGTGTTAATACTTTCTTGTATTTCAGTAGATACCGAAATACGTCGTCAGATTTAAAGAGTAGACAGGAGTGTGCCGCCTTCCACAGTTTCAGCACAAAGGCCTGTTACTGCTGCCCCTTAGCAAAACAAGTTATTTCTTTAACTTTCTCAGTCCAGCTACTGATTTGGGGGGAAAGGGGTTAGTTCAGTTTTGGTAGGCTTTAATGAAGCAAAAAGCCAACAGTAGTTCACCTGTTTTTGAATAATTATCTTAGGAAGTTGCTAAACACAGAAGATCCTCCATCCCTTGGGTGGGTCAGTCCATGTTGCGTCAAGGGGCCATCATAGCGTCAGACAATTCAGAAGAAAGCAAGATGTGTTTCCTGCATTTGATTCTCTAGGGAACGGGAGCATTTTGCTGTTTCATGAGGAAATGCTCTCCCCCTCTGAAATTGGTGTTTGCTTTGCTGTGCTGCTGCCAGGCCCTCAGCAGCATGGCAGGGTCCTGAGAGCCAGACGGCAGCACTTTTCCTGGAGCCAGAGATCAGAAAATACCTTTTCCATCCGCTCCCCTGAACAATGAACGATTCCTCAGCCTGAATCCTGTGAAATACAGACGGCTTCTGTGGCTGGACCAGATATCTGGCTCCACCCAGCTTTGTAGCCTTCAAGGCTGAGAAACATTTTCACAGCAGGATTTGACTGGTAAGAGTTACAACATCAGCCAGCCAGACTGCCCCTATCCCATGAATCTGGTGCCTTTGATTATTTAAAAGAAAAAGAAAAAGTCATTTTGTAAATGTTTCATCTCCAGCAGAGCCCCTTATGTTTTCTATTTCTTGGTTTTTGTACAGTTGTAAAAATATTATAGATCCTCTGTCTCTGGGTACGTATTTTCAGTGTAAAACAGTCTGTATAATAAAAGTTTAGATTTTCTAAAGAAACTGTGTAAAGTTGTGAGCATCCAGAGGTTGTTTTCAACAGTTCTCTGGTTTACTCGGTTGTGGGGCAGTTGACCAAGCTGTGATCTCAAAAATGCTTGCACTGAGGGTGTTTGGGGAGGGCCGGGTAAGGGGAAAGGGTCTGATGGGTAGGCAGCATCTTTGTGAAAGAAGAGTTGCTGTATTCTTGAGTCAGTGCCTTGAATGCCTGTGAATCCTCACTTTCTGGAAAGACTACCAGGCTTAGTTTCAGTGGCCTCACCATGGGCTTAGGAAAAAACAGGTGGTGAACTAATTTCAGGAATTTCTCCTAAAGGAAGAGGATTTATGTATTTTGAGGATGTATTTCTTCCTCAGCTCTCATAACCACAGGTACTGAGGTCATCCAGGTGAGATGCCAAGCCCACATTCACACCTCAGTTTTCTGCCTCCAGATCTAGAGCTCTTGCACTGGGCAGCTTCCTGCCTTTGGGTGATCTAGATGACCTTTGCGGTCCTACCAGCTCTGGCGTATGTGCTCTGTAGGGGCATTAAACGTTCTCTGAGCCAGTAGTGTCGAACTCAAATAGAAAGGGATCCCTGCCCTGCTGGGCTGCATCTAGACTTAGAAAACCACAAGTTAACCTTATCTGTATTGGTTTGTGTTTTATTTTGTTAAACATTTCCCAGTGGGGGCTGCAAATTTGGCTCCTCTGATATAAACCAACTCCATTTGACAGACCAGGAAAGTAAGGCCTAGAGGTTAGGTGAGTGGTCAGATTACAATTCATAGGGAGAAGAGATTATATTAACAATGTAAGCAAGTAGCATGATGTAGCAGATAGAGGTGGCTTCAGAGGCAAGAACACCGGAGTTCATTTCTAAAATGAAGAGTGACCAATAAAATAGCTGGCCAAAAATATCACAGAATTGGGAATCCTAAAAAAACAATGTTTAAATTTTTAAAAAAGACTATTGGTGATAAATCAACTGTACTTTTTAATCAATAAAATACATAAGTCTGTAGCTGATTTGGTAAGCACCTGCCATGTGCCGAGTGCTGGGAATACAGATGCCAAAACAGAAAGAGCCAGGTCCTGACTGCATCCCTCTCGTAGTCAAGGTATTGGCTTGTTTGGTGTAAATGCTGCTCTTTGTTCACAAAGGAGGGCTTTTGGGGAAGGGGGGTTAATGAGGAATGACAATAATGCAAAAGAATTTAAAAGTATCAGTAAAGTATTTAAAAAAAAAGTACCAAGGCCAGACATGTAGATAAGCTAGTCTTTGCGAGCCAGCTGCCTCGTGGAAGTACGTGGCACATGGGACTTACCACATGTGTGCAGTTCACTATAGAATCCTGTCATCCTGTAGTCTGAGTTGGAAGGGCCCTGGGTCATCTAGTCCAACCGTATCTGCATGAGAATCTCTACATCACATCTGACAGCCCTTACTCGCTCCATGGTACAGCAGACAGACTTGGCATCAGGAAGACTTTGAGTTCAGAGCTGGTCACAAACGTTTACTAGCTAGGTGGGAAATTTATTTAACCCCAGCCTGCCTCAGTTTCCTTATCTGTAAAATGGAGATAACAGTAGCATCTACTTCGCGGAGTTGTTGTCAGGATCAAATGAGGTAATATTTGTGATGTGCTTGCAAACCTTGAAGTCCTACATAAATGTTATCATTTCCTGATATCAAGCCTAAAACTGCCTCTGTAACTTCTACCCTCTGACATCCAGCAAAATCAATCTAAGCCTTCTTTCCCATGACATTTAGATACTTAGAGGCAGCCATCATGTTGCCCCAGGTCTCCTTATCTACTTATCTCAGGCGAAACAAATCCAGTTTTTTCAACTGATCCTTATATAGAAGAATCTTGAAGCCCTTCACCATTTTGGTTTCCCTCCTCTAAAGGCTTTCAGTGGCTTTCCTAAAATGTGGCATCCAGGACTGGCCACCATGTTCCAAGTGTGATCTGAGTAGGGCCCTCAACTACTTGGCTAGGGCACCCTCTTAATGTAATCTCATCTCACAGATTTTTTTGACTGGTATTTTACATAGCCAGATCTCTTACAGGTGAACTGATGTCCAAACAGTGCCTCCATCTCATACTTGTGAAGTTGATTCCCAACCCAAATCAGAGACTTCCCTTATCCCCATGAAATATCCCATTTGGTTCAGACCCAATATTTTAGTTGGTGAAGATTTGTGGATGGAGGGAATCCTGACTTTGTTACACGTACACAGCTCGTAGCTGTCTCTCCAGTTCTGTGTGTTCTGCGTGTCATTGATACTTTTATCCAAGCCACTGAAAAAATGTTAAATAACATAAAGCCAAGGCCAGATTCACAGCACTCTTTACTCAAGTCAAGTCTTCCTGTTGATGTCAGACCACTAATGACATCTCTTTAGATCCAGCCATTCAACCAATTCTCAGTCCCCTTAGCAATACTATTGTCGAGCCCTTGCCTCTGTAACCCAGTCACAAGAACAGCACAAAGTGACTTTGACAAATATTTCTTGGCCACCCTCACCATTGGAGCCGTCCCAACAAGACAGTCCACGTAAACTGGTAGGAACTAAAGAAAGGGAGGGAGACTATAAGACTGGAAATGGATGAGTGTCCAATTTTCATAAAAGAAAAGGGTGAAAATATGTGGGGGAAAAAAGATCTCAGGAGTTTGGTGAACTGCAAATTGAATATGAATCAAAGGTCTGAAAAGCCCAGATGATCTGAGCCTTGAGAGCTATAGTGTCCACAATGTGGGGGATTCAGTTCTCTGCTCTGGTCAGACTATATCTGGAATGTCATGTTCTGTTTTGGAGCTACGTTTTAGGTGTGACATTGACAGGTTGGAGCATATCTAGAGGAGGATGACCTGGATGGAAGGGGCTAGAGACTATATTATAGGAGTTTCATTTGGAGGAGCTAAAGAGAGCCTTGGGGGACATACAGAGAGGGGTGAAGAGGAGGAATGATTCCTGTGTTCAAGTGTGTGAAGGGCTATCATATAAAAAGGATTTTGTTGTTCAGTTGTGTCCAACTCTTCAAGATCCCATTTTGGGGTTTTCTTGGCAAAGATAGTGAAGCGATTGGCCATTTCCTTCTCCTGCTCATTTTACAGATGAGAAACTGAGGCAAACAGGGTTAAGTGACTTGCCCAGGGGCACACAGCTAGTAAGTGTCTGAGGCCAGATTTGAACTCGGAAAGAGGAGGCTTCCTGGTTCTGAGGCCAGTGCTCTGTGCACTATGGTACCACTTTTGGCAACTGCCCATAAAAGAGAAATTGGGCTGGAAATTAGGCTTGTTCTTTTCCATTTCACAGGGAACAGTGGATGGACATTGCCAAGAAGGAGATTTGTGTTTGATGAGAGGAGGAACATGCTAGCAATTAGCATTGATCAAAAATGGAATGGCCTTCCTCAAGAGTTCCTGAGTTCTCTCCCACTGGCAGCCTTCCAGTGGAGCCTGAATGACCAACCCCACCTGAAGATAACTCTCATAGAAGGGGGCTGCTATCCATGCATAGGGTAGATGAGATCGTTGTCCAGCTCTGAGATATTGTATGTGATGGAGGGAGCTATGAAGTGAGAATCAAGAGATGTGGGTTCCAGTCCCAGCTCCACCACTTTTTAGACTGATTACCTTTTGGAGTTCCTGGCTCTGAGACTCACTTTCCCCCTTGGTAAAATGAAGAGGGAGGTGTGTGTGGGGAAGCTTAGGATCCTGGACTAGATGTTCTGTCAGGGACCCCTCCAGTTCTGTAATGTCTTCCAAGAACTGTGACTCAGGCAGCTAGGTTGCTCAGTGGATAGAACACCAGCCCGGGAGTCAGGAAGACCTGAGTTCAAAGTCGACCTCAGACATACAACACTTACTAGCTGTGTAACCCTGGCAAGTCACTTAACCCCATTGCCTAGCAAAAACCCAAGAACTCAGACTGTAAATGTCTCTCTGATTTCAGCCCCTCATTCTTCCTCTCCATATCTCATTCCTAGCCAACCTGGTGTTTACTATTCCCTCAGGACCTCCCTGTTCTTTATGAGCTCCTTCTGGGTTTTCTTCACTTTCTTCTTTTCATATACTTGACTCTAAGATCACAACTGTTTTGGGTTTACAAAGTGCTTTCTTCATGACAGCCACATAAGGTCCCATAATCAGTCCAAAAATCATTTCCTCTATTTTACAGATGAGGAAAGTTCATCTGAAGCCCAGAGAAGGAGAAATGAGTTTCCCATCATTGCACATCTAGTGAGTGGTAACTGAACTTCTTTGGGCAGGGCTTCTCACCACCTGAATCATTCGTTCCACTGTTGAACAGCTCTGAGGATGTCAGTTCTGCCTCTCGTGAAAGCAGCGTCTGCTTTCTTTTACCTTCCTTTTACTGTCCCTACTACTGCTACTACTGCTAGGCAGAGTTAACCTATACACCTCTTCCAAATGCTGGACCTTTTTGAACATGGCAAGCCTCTCAGTGAGGTAGCGAGGCATTGCAGTGGAAGGAGAGCTGGGCCTGGAGCTAGGAAAACCCAAATTCAAATCTGGCCTCAGATATAAACCCCTGGACACGAGTCACTTAACCATTGCCCGACTCAGTTTCCTCATCTGTAAAATGGGGG